AAAGTTTCAAACAACCACAAGCATTGGGTATTTTAGGATATCGACTTCATTATCACTTTTTTTCACTTCTGATTGACAATGGCACGAAGGAGAATTTCCAATGCACTGAGATGGCAGATCAATGGAATTCATCGGGCAGGACTTTCTTACAAGGAAATTGCAAGAAGAACCCAGTTTCACTACACGGTAATAAGCCGTCTGGTGAGGAAGCATGCGCAAACAAATGATGTAAAGGACCTTCCCCCTTCTGGAAGACCAAAAGCTACCACGCCCCAGGAGAATAGAGCTCTGTTACGGCATGTTAGACGCCAGCCTTTTGGTTCAAGCACCCTTCTGAAACAGGCCTCATCGTTCACGTGCTGTAAACCAACATCTGGCAAATAATGCTGTGACACGAATTCCATGGCCAGCAATGTCTCCTGATTTGAACCTAATCGAACATGTTTGGGACATCATGGGCCATCGGGTACAAAGAAGTAATCCTCCTGCACAAAACCTGAGGGAACTGGTGGCAGCTTTTAAGGACTAGTGGCAGCGGATACCGATGAAACAATGGGGATGCCAAGAAGAGTGGCTGCAGTTATTCAGGCACCTGGTGGCAGCACACGTTACTGATGTTTTGTGATTCCTGGGACACTGATCCACTTTATTTAAGCTGCTTTTACCGGGTGGCACACACCAAGACCTTGAACTGACGACACTTAAACACCCGTGTCTTTTGGATAAAATTCCATTTCAATTCACTCTGTGGTTTCATACAAAATGTCACTTCCAAATGACCAAATGATTGTTCTTTTAATTAAAATTTCTTTTGCTTATCTTCTATCTCAGTTTCATACCATACTTTCATGAAGTTCGCCCCTCTGTGAAAAATCAGGGGAGTGCTTAACTTATTTTGCTGTGTATATAATAGGAATATCAGACCAATAATGGTCCAATTCTCTTCAGTATTTACGAAGATATGTGGGATTGAAATTTCATCGATCTATTCTGCTCGCTATGCAATATGCCTATATTTTGTTGTCCACGAAAATTTAATGATAGACCTGTTTTAAATCCGACTGAATCCAAACCAAGACATCATCTAGCGTTGGTATTTTGATTTTGTTTTCTATATTAAAAGTTAAATAACGTAGATTAAGCCGTGAGAAATGTCATATTTTAGCGACAAATGCAAATGGTGCATCGGAACATTCATATAATTATTATGTACATAATTAGATAAAAAAGATGTCAGCTACTCATGTGTAAAAATATAAACTCGCCGACTTTTTGTAAACTGCAAATTTGAAATTATGATTAATGTTTAAACTATTCATCGTGCATCATTATAATGTTTAGAATGAGACGGGGAGTGGAATATATTATTGTAAGTTACATGAGTGACTCGTGTTGATTGAAAATGATTGACAGATAGCTACATAATTGCACTTAGATAATATATCTCTGTCTATGAACAATATATATTTTCGTTTTGTTTTTTTTTCTTCAGGCACTCGACACAAACTGGTTCATTTCGGGACTATCATATGGTTCGATTTTATTTCAATAATTCGCTTGGACGTTATGGTGTTTAGCAGTGGAAAGAAGCCGGAAGACCCGACGTAAATCCACGAGGTTGGACAAACGCGTGAATAAACAAAAACAAAACTATTGAGCGATAAGAAAAACAGAAGATAAAATTAGTTTGAGGAAGTGATTTCACCTTGGTTAAAATCACCCATGGAAAATATAACGTATTATTGTGTTAGAGAACTCAAACAAGAAGTAAAATTTTATTGTTCTGGCCATAAGCCCACATAAAACTGATTTATGGAATTTAGGTTTAACGCCTTATCTTTCTGCACCAACCAAACTAATGCAGACGACGGGCCCAAGTTATTGAGACCTAATCTATTGATGTTATAAAGTGTAACGAAATATGACAGCATCTCTGCCAAAACCTTTCACCATATCCATAACCTATATATTTTATTAAGTGGTTGTGAAATTCCTAGTCACCATATTTGATTGCATAGAAAATTTACAAAGAGGCATTTAAAGGTATATTAGCATTGTAAATGTTTTCACCCCACTACGCAACTCTAATACCTTTATAATAACTAAACATAATACCATATAGAAATTCGAATTTGAATTGTTCAAAAGATATTCGTACATTTCTTTTGCTTCGTTTGGCCTTAGAACTCACTTCTTATGCGTTATATTCAGAAGTGTGTGGTTTGAATTGAATGTTTAATTCTCGTTAACATAATATAACACGGTATTTAGTAAAATACAGCATGACAGGGATGATGTCTAAACATGTCAGCTGTCAACATATAACTCATGAAATATATCTTTTAAAGTGGCATTACCAATCGCTGTAATAACCAATCTTCAATCAGACCAAATTTTGAATATTTATATTAATATAGACATTTTAATTTTAAAGTGGCATTAGGTAAGATTAAATAAAGAGCTGACAGTTCTCGCTATAATAGTTAGAAAATAGATAAGGAAATGAGAATATGTTGCAAATTTCAGTCAAATTACTTCACGGCGATACAATAATAGTCTAGACTCGATTGTCATAACTACCGTTGTTACGATAATAAACAAAATCTCGATTATCCATTTTTACGGTAACCGCATCAATTACAAAACGTATTTAAATCTACTTCCATCAGATGGCATCAAGGTTTGATTATGATCTTGGTAATTTAATTGGGGATCACGTGGCTAAGTGGGTAAGACGCTAGCTCGCTAGCCTGGAGGTCGGGTGTTCGATCCCTGCATTGGCCGAGAAAGTTCATCCAGATTTTCCGGCGTGGTTCTCCCTTGTCAGTGATGCAGGACGGAGGGGCTGGCAAGGAAAGCTGTCTAGTCGTTCGGATGGGACGAAAAACCGAGGTCCCGTGTACACATTGGCGTGCACGTAAAAGATCCCTTGGCAGTTGGAATTCGATATAAGAGTAGGCCGTAGTGCCGCTGTCCGGGCAAAATTTCCCTCATAGCACACTGTATGGCGTATGCCCGTCTTCATTAGCCCAGGTTAGGAGCAGAACAGTAGGACGTTAAACCCCATTTCATTTCATTTCATTTTGGTAATTTAATTAATGTCCAAGTAATAATTCATATAATATTTCAGGTCTTAAAAAAGACCTGCAATAGGCAGATTTAGCTCTTGAATAATGCCTCTTAAGCTCCGGTACTTAGAACATTCTTGAAAAATGGCCATTGTTTATCTCTCTATAATGAACTAAAATGGGGTTTAACGTCCTACTTTTCTGCACCGATCGGGCTAATGAAGACGGACAGACGCCATGGCGTGTGCTATGAGGGGGAACTTTGCCAATGGTTCTTTTACGTGCACGTTAATGTTGACACGGGACCTCTGATTATCGTTCCATTCGAACAATTTGTACTTAGTGTAAGCAGACGTCATTTTGGTAACCAATTTAATAATTAGAGAGTTTTTAAAATTTTTGTTTGAGAAATGTGAAGGTTTGTAAGTTTCAACACCATGCCAAGACTGGTTTTTTTTGTTGTTGTTTTGTTTTGTTTGGGTTTTTTTGTTGTTTTTTTTGTTGGGGGGGGGGGGGGTGTTTGTCTGTCTGCTCATGGTTGGCGGCTACACTAGGTCTGTCCCGATGCTCAAATTTGTGTATAGGGGTAGCTCGGACCAGGGAGTAACACGGGCTAGGTGACGTTGGGCTACCATTATAATACTTTCAACCCGTGGAGCGCCGGGTCATCCGCTAGTAAATAATAATATTGATACAATGTTTGGAAGTATTTACGTATTCTTTAAACAAATTCACAATTGCCCCAACAATCATTTTCATGGTGAGCATCCTTCATATTAAACTATTTAACTCAGGTGGGTGGGGTCACTTTAAACCATAATTATCTGTGTTTAAAACATGACAAAACGTGTTATTGTAACATACAGCAGGATTAAAGTTTTAAAAATAATCTGAAAACAAGGAAATACCTACATATACCTACATCCGTTTGGTGAACTAGTCAACTAATAACTATTTTGTTTATAAAACATCGTCTCAAAATGTTATGAGAGAGAGAGAGAGAGGGGGGGGGGAGGTAACGTTCACTAGATACAAACTAGGTTATTAGACCATTCTTAAGTGTGTGCGATACATTCTAAATTTTATATACGTAGAATTTGCTAATTTTGTAATCATTAGACCAAATACCCAAATAACCGATTTTGGATAAATCGTACAGAGAATAGAAAATATTAAAAACCCGTTCAATTAGGATATGTAAAAAATATCAAATGGATCATTTAGAATGCTACAGTTCCATATATTTAGTTTACAACCAGACAGTTAACGCCGTATCAGGAAATGTCACAAACTATAACGGTCATTCAAAGTTCAAAAATTGGTTAAAAGGTACGTGATGTCTCGACAATATTATAATGCATTCGTATAAATAAACACAAATATTATACATATCTTTTATCTGTTAAAGTCAGTGAAAGGTTTTCTAGAAAGAGTGGGCATCTGCCATTTTGTGTAGCTTATTGGGGTGATGGTTTAGAAAAATAGATTTCAGAAGTAACCTCGGGACAATGACCCACCATCTTAGAGAGTGCACAGCATGATTATTTACATAGGCATTAGTGCAAAACCAATGTAGTGATCTATTACTGTGTTTGTTCTAATCATAACGTGATAATTTTAAAAAGAAAGTAGTAATATATAATTGTGGTTGTTCTAACCATAATGAAAAAATATATAAACGAAAGTAGTAATATATTTGACATTATTAAGAAATAAATTTTGAAACATGCGGGTTTTTTCACATTCTTGCTATACATACAGTGATGATTCAAAAAACGAAAGTAGTAAAATATAATGTGATAGTTTTAAAAATAGACTGTGAAACATGCTTTCTATAGCATTATCGCTGTACATTCAACCGTTGATATAGGTGTACCACCCATCTAAATCAACACCCATGTTATTATATACAATAAAATGAAGCAAGCTTACCGTGACTTTGACGTTGATGAGTCTTGGCAATGTTCTCAACCGTTTCAAATGTAATATCTTGATTAACAGCATCTGCAATATTCTTCGACTTCGTCAAAGTTTCTTCCTCAAACGATTTATAAATATCGGGATCACTTTGATAAAGGGGGTTGTCCTTTTGGAGGTGGAAATAATTATCGAAAATGTTGACATTGTCGTCGAAATCATCCTCATCCTTTGAGGTGTCGATTTTGTTTTTAATTAAAATCTGTCCACGAACCACTTTCAGATCACTTTGTACGCCAGATTCCACAATTTGTGGTTGTGTGTTAACTTTGTAAACCTTCTGGGAACTTTCATAGTTATTCATCTCCAAGAAATCACTTGGGCCACCATTTGAAGTCAAATATTCCGAAGAAGACCTCATAGGCGTGGGTAAATTATCCGAAAAACTACGGTAACTGAGATGATCCTTTGTCGGAGACGGAGAACGCATCCTGTACTGGCGTTCCGTAGTCGTAAATCGTTCTGATTTCGTGTTACGTGATGAGCGTGGCTGATCGGATGATCGGGTGTTATGCACTACATAATTGCGCCCTCCTTGAGAAAGGTCGCTTAACGATTTGGATAAATTGTCCGAATAATCCCGTCTAACATCCACTATTGTTTTATGTCGGCTTTGAGGACTTGGTGATCGAGTTCTATAAATCGGATCTTGTGAACTACTTTTGAATTTGGTTGTCCGGAAAGAATTGTCGCCAGCATTCGGAGTTGGACTAAAACTTCTCTGGATGTACAGCTTCGAAGCGTGGTTATCATATCCATTCTCCTTCACCACTTTCGATGACGACGACGATGTTGTTAAACCATGTTTTGTTGACGATATTTTATACCTGCGCGTCTCACCATCCGAGCTACTTTCCGAAGAGCTACGAGATCGTCTTCGTCGTGATTTGCTCATCTTATCATCGGCGGCTGATTGTACGTTTACCACCCTGTACAGTGACTCACCTCTTGTTGGGCTGGTTACACGGCTTGTTGTATTGCTATTGGTATTACTATGAAGGTTTATAACTGTACTATTACGAGTGGGAGACAGTGTCGTGGATCGTACAGAAGGTACAACGCGCGTTCTTCGAGTTGTATATTCGGGTTCGAAATATCCAGAATCCAATCTTGACGTCTGTAAATGAGATTCTTCTTCGTCTTTGTATGTACCCAGTCGTCCCGAAGGTTTCGTATAGACCACCTTGTAACGATTGCGGTTTTCGGGCGACGTGGAGCGCGAGCGGCTGTAAATCCCATCCGATGTTAGGACATTTTGGCGTTGTCGCCGCGGGGATGAGGATGTTCGATTTACTCTGTAGACCTGGTCATCGCTCATCACCGACTCCGGTCTACTTCTTGAATATTGTCCATTTTGTCCATGTCCGGAGATTCTGTAGAGTCTTCTCACTTCGTCATCGGATTCGTATCCATGGATATATCTATTCTCGGTGAACCTCTGCCTCGGTAAATATTGATTATTGATCTCTACTCGGGTAACATTCCTGTCCGAGATATCTGAATCCGACGAGGGATAGCCGCTACTCTTTCTTCGTCTCAAGTCGTCTCTGTCTGATGAAGCGTATGTTTTCATAACCTTTATCTTTCGTCCGCTGTCCAGTTCGTCGTAATCGAGACTATTATTGAGATGGACATCTTTATAACTAGATCGAACTATGTGGGGTTCGCTGGTAGACAAATCTTTTACACGCCATAACTCATCCCCTGGGGTATCCACATAACGATCAGATCGGTAAACGTCTGAACTATATTTATCTTTAGCCCGGGATCGCCGTTCGCCGCCATCGCTGTAGATCAGTTGTCGTCTGGGAGATGGTGGGCGTATGTCCACTTCGTGGTAGATTGTTCGACGTTTTGGTGATTGAGACCTCCTTGGGGACATTGATGCCCGAACAACTCGGTACAGCGGTCCCTCGTCATCCCTCGGGGATTCTTCGGAGGTTGTTCTGGAGGATTTGGAACCATAAACACTGTCGACATCAACACTTGGTAAGATGGTGGTCGTGATGGTCTTTTTGGAATAATAGCTGGTCTCGTTGTCCTTGTCTTCGGAATGTTTTTTGGTACTGTCAGAGGTATTGTCGATTCTCGTTACGTGTTGCCCAGCGTTTTGGTCCACATTGTTGAGTACGGCCTGGACATCTTTATAGGATGTTTCGGTTGGTTCCACAGCTTGAACGTAATTCGTTGTTTGTAGGGCGCCCCTTTCACCTAAAGTATATTCCGTCGTAGTTCCGACGTAATTATTCGTAATGGTGGTCATATTGGCATTGCTGGTAACTTCAGGCACCAATGGCACCGGTTGGTAGGGATGAAAAGCCGTATTGCTAAAATTTAGGGTAGACGTTGCCGGCGCAACCAAATTCCCGGCGTTGTAGGTACTAACAGCCGTATCATTATTTGGAACCAAAACAGCTGTTGTGTACGTCTTCATCGTAGAATTACCCAAATTAACTGCAGGATATTCTTGCGTCGTGACTAAAACTGGCTGATTATAAGATCCACTGCTGCGTTGGCTAAATCCACTAACCGAGTAATCCGACGCACCTGTGTCGATCGTAAGCTCATTATCAACCGACGATGCTGTGGATTGTGTGCTCTCTTCTACATCTTTTCGTCTAGTGATGGTTTTTTGTACACGATGCTCTATTAAAGCCACATTATCGCTAGTTACTCCATGTATGGTCACGGTTTCATGCTCCTTGACATCCTGGGTTACATTATTATCCTCGCTTTCTTGTCGTGACACCGATCCCGGTAAGCTGATCACCCCTGATCCACCGCTTGAATGGCTAGATCTAAGACTTAACGCTTTCTGATTATTGTTCGACTCCATGATTATTGGGGAGCTGTTTCCCTCGGATAAACCGTACAAAGCCGAAATAACTTCATTAGCGGTGTCGTTATCTACATTAGAATCGATTCGTACGTTTCCGGATGATCCAATCTGATAGCTTCCGGACTGGCTCATCCTGGACGAACTACGAGAACTTCTTGTGGATTGTGTTTCCTGTTCCTTGGTTCCTGAAATGTCTTCGACCATGTAAACAGAACCGTTACTACCTTCCACCATAATAATGTCTCCGCTAGATTTTCCCCCGATCCCGGAACCACTTGCTGAGGAACTTGAAGAACGCATTGATCTACTACTACTCCGTCGTGAACTAGTCGATGCCGCCATGATGTCGCTGAGATTAGACGAAATGGGTTGCTGAGAAGAACCGAAATCGGACGATAAATCTAAAGAGTTGACATTAAACTGCGTTATCAAATCATCACTACCACTTAAGACAGGCATTTCATCCGATTTTACAGACTCAACACTTTCTTTAGACTCCGTGAAATTCTTTTTCATAAACACACTTTTGAATTCAGATAATAAATTCCCGTAATTTTGCTTAGGCACCGATGACAGGTCGGGTTCATCTACATTATTATTGTTTGTAGTTACAGAGATGTTGCTCACTCTCTTAACTCCGTTAAAACTAAACTTAGCAGACGATGTATCCGAGCTAGTTTCACTGATATTTGTATCCGTCACGTGATTATTACGTACTCTCGCTTTTGTTTTTAATTCCGAAATTAAATTATCATATTGCTCTTTAGGCGAAGTTGGTCTGTCCTCGCCCAACTCGACCGTTTGTGTAACTCCGGTTCCATCAAGTGAATCGTGATCTTCTCCCTGTGTTGTTGACTCGACACCGGTCGAAGCAGACGACGCGAGAGTGATGCTGGCTACTGTCACGTGGGGCAAATCAAAGCTCGCCTTTCTGGTCTTCTTATCTTGTTCGTCCGGTTCATCATTACCCAGATCCATGTTCGCATCAATTAAATCCTCTTTTACTGAAACACTTTTTAGGGAATGTCTTTGGTTGTCATTTACATTAGTTTTAGAAATGGGAAGAACCGGCTTGTCGTCTGCGTTAAACCATCCATTAGTGTCAGCTGAACTTTTCTCAGATGTGTTTATATCAAAGTTGGACGCCCAAACACTACTATAACTACCACCACCAATAATATCTTCTTTATTTGTATTACTAGTTATTACACCGCCGCCTAATAATCGTTGACCTAAATATGTATTTTGTGCAGGGCTTAGACCCGATTCTCCCAACCCTTCATTGTTCAGTGTGCTTATATCCCTGTCAATGGACTGCGATAAATCATACGACTTGTCATTGTACATTGACTGTGTTGTAGAGACAGTCGACGATTCGTAGGCAGGAAAGTTATAACTGTCCTTTGTAGTCAGGACATTTGAATTACTTTCTAATTGCATAACGTCTTGACCTGGGGCATTCACGTTAGGGATCGTTGTTATGTTTTCGCGGGATTCGGTTCCGTTTTCGAGAGAATTGTATGTTTCCTTCATTGATTCTTCGGCTTGTGATGTTAGGTTATCGCGCGAGACGATTCCGTTTTCGAGCGAATTGTGTGTATCTTTCTTTGATTCTTCGACCTGTGATATAGCACTGGTGTCTGATTCCATAGATGAATTTGTGATCGTACTAATATCAGATAGTAAAGAGTCCGATAGTTTGATTCCCGTGTCGGTTCCGTTTTCGAGAGAATTGTAGGTTTCCTTCTTTGATTCTTCGGCTTCTGACTTTATGATTTCGCGCGAGTCTATTCCGTTTTCGAGCGAATTGTGTGTATCTTTCTTTGATTCTTCGACCTGTGATATAGCCCTGGTGTCTGATTCCATAGATGAATTTGTGATCGTACTAATATCAGATAGTAAAGAGTCCGATTGTTTGATTCCCGTGTCGGTTCCGTTTTCGAGAGAATTGTAGCTTTCCTTCTTTGATTCTGCGGCTTCTGATTTTATGATTTCGCGCGAGTCTACTCCGTTTTCGAGCGAATTGTGTGTATCCTTCTTTGATTCTTCGACCTGTGATATAGCACTGGTGTCTGATTCCATAGATGAATCTGTGATCGTACTAATATTCGATAGTAAAGAGTCCGATTGTTTGATTCCCGTGTGGAAGATTAAATCAATCTTTTGAGAATCGCCACCGCTTTCAATAAGGGCTTCTCGTTTCTTGCGCAACATACTGCGTGCCTTTTTCTTTTCGATATTAGACCCCTTGCTATATTTTAATCCCAGTTGAACGAATAATTCTCTTAATTCGTCGACAGTCCCCGGTTTTATGAAAGCGCGCACCGTTTTTACTTTTTGCCCATCCCATTTACTGATCAGGTAAGGCTCGCCATCAAAATGCATGGACGAGTTGTCTCCCTTTACTTTTCGCTTTTCATCGACTGTTTGCGTCGTTTCCGATATGATGATGTTCTCTTGAGCAATTGAATGGTCCAGATATCGCATAATTTCATTTTCCGGTCCGGACTTATGCGGCATTGCTAGATTGATGTGATATCCGTGGAAGGAGGGTGATTGTGACGGTTGCAATAGAGGTAGAGAGTCGGTGACGGGAGGCGGTGGTGGCGGCAGGTCATCATCGTCCAGGGGTGGTGGTGATGATGTTGGAAGAGGTGGAGGCGGAGGTGTTGTAGACAGGGGCTGTTCGTCGAGAAAGGTACAAGGTGTAGGAACTTTTACTAATGCCGGAGGGGGAGTTTCCGGTGGGGGTGGAGGAGGGGGAGAAGCGGGGGGAGAGACCTCGTTTATCGCGTTTACTGAATGTATTGGCGAAAATCCACTTTTTTCATTCAGTTTTAATCCCCCGTTCACTAATGAAATTTTTTCCTTAAAGGGCACTTCGATTCGACCTCTAGGAATTATACTTTCATGGGAATAAGTTCGCTTAGGAATTAACAACTCCGATCGGTACGAATCATCGCGTACACTTGCGTTTCTGGACACGTAGATGACTTTTGGTCTGACGCTACTGTCATTGGCTCGTGGAATCTTTTCAAATTTCTTTTCTTTAGCCTTTTTAGTGACGTCATTGATGACATTCGGAGGCAGACCAACGTGTGATCGCCATCTTGTTTTATCAGTGCTCATGTTGGAATTATTCAGATCAATCTATATTTAAGCAAGTGGATTTTCCAAACAGATACATCCGCCATATCTTGATTATCCTGAAATATATAATAAAAACAACTTTGAGGATTATGCGAGTCTAAATACATTTGAGAGCACTAAAGAACAAGTAGTCTAAATATGTTCACAACAAAAGACAACACGTGGTAATGAATATAACTACTTCTCTGTTATTTAATAGCAGGGGCAGGCTTGGTCTCGGACGACTGTTTAATATTTTTAGTTATCCATACCATGTGTTGTGTTTTGAATATTGGGGTCTAAATACGTTTTGAGGACTGCACAGAACCGCAGGTCTGGATGTTTGAGAGTACTACATAATATAGAATATGTATCTATTGATCCTTTCGCCAATGTTAGATTTATTATTATAATGAACCCAGTTTAATATGAGGGGTTACTTTTTCAAATTCATGTTTACAGTTTTGTGGACAGGTAATTTTTTTTAGTATATTATTTTTTTTTTATGTGTTGTCTTTGTTAGTTTTATATTGTTGGTGTGATGTGTGGTTCAGGGTGGGCATCGTAGCGGTATATTTCAAGATACGATTTTAGTAAAAACTATAATCCAAAAATATGTTTTCTTTAAAGCGGTTTGCGCCCTTCGCTAAAATATCTTCCTTTTTTGTTGTCGTTTCCATCTGGAGTTATGTCCCTTGTAGCTAGACATTTATTTTGAATCTAATACGTTGTGACCACTAAAGAAATGAAATGGGGTTTAACGTCCGACACTTCAACACAGACTGGGCTAATGAAGACGGACATACGCCATGCAGTGTACTATGGGTGCAATTTTGCCCAGACAGCGGCACTAAGGCCTACACTTATATCGAATTCCAACAGCCAAGTGATCCTTTTTACATGCACGTCAATGTGTATACGGGATCTCCCGTGTATCTAAAGGAACCCTGACCAGTTGGTTTTCTATAGTCGCCATTAGACTGGTTGTTGTAGAAAGATAGGACGTTAAACCCCATTTCATTTCAGTTTATATCAGGATCAACACCATTAGTCATTAGATATTTTTATATTACACACCGTCATGTTTCATGTCATCAAGATATTTTTCTTGCTAGTTTTATTTTTGAGATTAACAAAAGAATAGTCTCTATCAGATGTGTCAACGCCGATTCTTTTTATCACCATAATTACCATCAATCAACATGAACTAGAAAACAATGTCCCCTCAGGTATACCATTGGCAGTATGTCTAAGATCCCTAACAGTTGGAAATCGAAATAAGAGTAGGCCGGACAATATATCTCACGTCTCACATAGGGTCTTCATTGGCAGAGCGTATCTAGTCGTTCGGGTAGGACGGAAAACGTTTACTGGAGTACTGCATGGGGTATGACCGTCTTCGTTAGTCCAGTGGTTGACGAAAAGTAGATGTTAAACCCCATTTCATTTTTATATACCTACCGACCACCACCTTTAATGTCACAATGATGTCAATATTTCATCAGTTTCTAATCATAAAAGAATTTTTATATGAAAACAGTAATAATATATTAAGACGCACGGTATCTTTGAAATAAAAAATTGACCTTTATTTAGGTAAAGGTTACGTGATGATTTACCTATATTAGAGTTATCTACATAAAAAAAACCCCACCCATCTGTTTCAATGGTCATCACCAACTAATTTATAGGTAAAATATCTCAATCCTACTTGACCCATACTCGTGACTGTGTCAACACTAAAAGATAAAAAGCGTATATAATCGGGAGCCTCTACAATCAACAACTTGAAAGGCTCTTGTTTGGTGACACAACTACGCGCGGGATCACAACATCACACCTACATTGAACCCTTCGTTTATCATGGACGTCACGAACAATAATTGGTCTCGGATTGCTAAGATATGATTAATTCCGTGCCATTTGTTACCCACGCCTGCGTTGATTAGGAGTAACTGTTAAAATCAGGTGTGTGCTCTAAAGGGGAATATAACTCTCACCCCAAAATACCCCCCACCCCCCCACCCCCAGGTTTCATCACAGATTTTATTAATTCCGTGCCATTTTTTATCTACGTCTGCGTTGATGTTAAATTAGGTCCATGATTTAAAAGAATTGAAAATAAAATGAAGTGGGGTTTAAAGGAAACTTTTAGATGAACGCCAGTGCGTACACGGGACCTCGTTTTTTCGACCCATCCGAACGACTATAGGTTTTCCCTTTCCAGGCCCTCGGTCCTGCATAACTGACAAGGAGGAACCGAGTCGAAAAATCCTGATGAACTTTCTCGGCCAACACGGGATCTACGTTTCTGTACCAACCGGTCTAGAGAAGCTGGACAAGCGCCATGCAGTGTGCTGTGGGAGACATTGTTGTTTTGCCCGGGCAGCGGAGGTACGACCTAATGTAGGTGTTAACCTAGAAAGTTGCTGGGAAGATTCCAAAATGGTTTGGAAGAGACAATTAACCGAGGTTTTGAGTACAGGTTGGGGTGCACTTAAAAGAAACCTTGACTTGAGGAATTCGTGAAGAATGGGCGAAAACGCCGCTGTCCGGGCAAAATGTCCTGCTTTTTACACTATATATGGCGTATGCCCGTCTTCGCTAAGTGGGTAAGGCGCTGGCTCGCTAGCCTGGAGGTAGCGTGTTCGATTCCTGCATTGGCCGATAAAGTTCATCGGGATTTTCCGACGTGGTTTCCCCTTGTCAGTGGTGCCGACAAAGGAAGCTATCTAGTCGTTCAGATGGAACGAAAAACCGAGGTCCCGTTTATACATTGGCGTGCACGTAAAAGATCCCTTGGCAGTTTGAATTCGATATAAAAGTAGGCCATTTGTGCCGCTGCCCGGGCAAAATTTCCCCCATAGCACACTGTATGGCGTATGCCCGTCTTCATTAGCCCAGTATAAGAGCCGAACAGTAGGGCGTTCATTTCATTTCACTATTCCGGTTGATGCTGATAATTAGGACGCTAAACGCCATATCTAAAAAACGATGAAAAACTTCAAGAATCACGATAGGACATTAAATCCAGTTATAGACCGCCTAATCCAAGAGTTTTCCAATTTCTATTTGTAGTTAAACTTTTTCATAATATTATCTCCCGGGTTTATAAACCTAATTTCAATATGGACTTGTTTATTCAATAGGTATTTCAAGATTTGTTTTACATAATTCTACTTCTAAATAAAAAATGAGCCGTCAAAAACAAGCCTGAAAAATGTATTCACGGTGTTCATATGATCTTCAATAACAATTGAAAAAGTACAAAAGTTCTCAACCCCGTAAATAAATAGAGATCAACTTACTGACCTGTGCTTATTGACGATATTTCATCGCCGAAAGATAAAGCATCGGTGTGCAGTGCATTATACAGATTATATCCGATGTTTCGGGGGTGGGGGGGGGATGACCGAATGGTTAGCGCGTGAGTGCTGTATCATAAGGTCGGTCATTGAGTCAACTTGCGTAGTTTCGATTCCCCGGTTGTACGTGACAAGGATTAGGGTCGCCTGTCCAATCTTGTGGGTTTTCTCAGGGTCCTACGGTTTCCTCCCACTGCTAAAGACCCCTACGCGCAAGCGAATTATTGAAATAAAATTGAAGGTATGTTAGTCTCTAAATCGATGTTTCACGGACAAATAACCAGTGGTGACAGAGATTGTAC